TGCTGCGTCTTTGCAGTTCCCTGCGGCTCCCGGATCTGCGGTGCCGAGCACGCCTGGCGCGGCCGCGCCGCCCCCAGCGCCCCCTGTGCGCGTTGCCGCGGGAGCCCGCCCCCCCCCGCCCTGGCGTTCCAGCGCACGCAGCGCACCCCGAGCTGCCCACGGGCCCCGCCGCAGGGCAAACGGTCACGGCTAACCCTGTCCCTGCCGGCGTTTCAGTGCAATCCCCCGGTCCCGGCACAGCCCCGCTTGCGCTGGGACCGGGGCGCCCCAGCCCGCCCAGCCACCCCCGTGCCGGCGCCGCGGCGCCTGCACCGGTGTCTGCAGCCTCTGCCGTGCCTGCTGCCGCTCCAGTCCAGCTCCGGTCAGCGCCGCCCCTGCCCGCCGGGCCAGCAGCCGCCCCAGCCCCCAGCGGCTGCACGCCGCGGTCGAGCCGCCGACCAGCCCACCGCCCGCCATGCCGTCCCCCCCCGCAGCAGCCTCCCGCCGCCTCCACGCCGCTCCTCCCGCCTCCCGCCACCCCGGGATCATCTCCCGCTGACGAGGGGCCGCTCCGCCGCCGCCCGTGGGGCCGAGCCGCGCCTTCTCCACCGCGGCCCCCCCCCCCCCTTCAGAGATGCTGGATGGCGCGGCTCCGCCGCCTTCTGCAACCACGGGCGTCCCGGCGTTCCCTTCCACGACCGCCGCCGCAGCCGCGTTCCCGTTTCCGCAGCTCCGCCGCCTCCCGCACCCCCCGGCCCGCCCGCCATGATGACTACCCACGCATGCGGATTGCTAGAATCCCCGCACCAGCGATATCACTCCGCGCCGACTCATCCAACCACAGCGCTGCTTCCGGGATCAGCCGCACGCATGCACAGTTCTATTCCATGTCCCGGCGCCACCCCCCACTGCTTTGGCCGCAGCTTTGTACAGCCTGGTCCCGGTTCCGAGCCGCTGCATGCCGCTGTCCAGCCACAGCCGGCATCCCTGTGCCCTGTCACGCCACTTCCACCACCACCGGCTCTGTACGCGGCACCACAGCAGCCGAAAACTGCAGCCTTGCATGTATCCTTCCGCGTCTCTCCCTCTGCCGGGCACCGAGAGATCCCTCCGCAGCGCGTAGCTCCGCACAACCGATACCTGGTGTGCCTCCGCGTTTTCGCCTTCTACACTCCTAGCACCGTCTGGGACTACTTTGTGTCACGATTCGTCCGCACAGCCACATCCATGCACACAAACCGTGCGACGAGGAGGAGGAGGCTGGAATATGACAGCTGCTTTAATAAATACAGGACAGACAGAGAATAATTTTGCCCCTGCAAATGCCAGCCCTTTGATCCAACACAAAAGAATTTCGAAAAAGAACTGTTCCCAAATAGCTCCAGAGTCCCCACAGTGTTTGGGATAGATTTCTCGACCCTAAATGAGACAATAAACAAAAAACAATTCCCCAGCATTAATGCCAAAATTAGAAAACTCACAAAAATATTTTGATAATTTTCAACTAACAGACTGCTGTGAAAAACGGCAATCACTTGTTTTTAAATTTTTTTAAAGTTTAATAGTAATAAAATGGTTATAAAAATAGTAATACAATTAGAGTAATAATAATTTGGACAATTTGAATTAGGACAATATGAGACAACAAAAACAAAGAGTTACAGACAGTCTGGGTACCTTTTTCTGGGCAGCACGAGCCTGAAAAAGGACCCCCATTAACAAAGGATTAACCCTTAAAAGCAATAGCCTGTTGCATAGTCACACACTTCATACATGATGCATAAATTCCATTCAAATACAGGATTCTGTCTGGTCATCATCCACTTCTTCCTTCTAATCCTAACAGTGCCTTCGAGAGGGGAAGAAGTTCCTTTCTTCTGATAAGAGGGCAATAAATTCTTTTTCTCTGAAAGATTCAGGTGTCCTGTGGCTGCTATCTCGCTGCAAGTCCTTTCTTTAAAAACAGTATCTTACATAGCATTGTTTCCATTTTAACAGTTTTTGTAACCTAAAACTATATTTCACACACTACTTAAGAGAATTAATACAGCATTACTTTCTAACACAACACATATAATATTCATTTTAATATTTGCGAAAAGCCAATCATAAAATGCATGCATTTTTCACAATCCCCACTCTTATTCTTTGTAAATCATTTGGCTTGAGCAATATTTCTTATCTACTTGCATCTTCTGGACTATGCTGGCAAAAAAACCCAGGGGATTACACAAGGAAGAAATATAAAAACAGTTGTAACACATAAAATGAAAGATCTTAATTTCTTCTAACACATTACCCCACCAGCTAGGTTTTAACATTGTTTTCTAATTTTTGGGCTGGTACCTGGGTTATTATATGCATATATATTTTTTTCTTCTTTGATTTTTTTTGCTTTTACTAGAACGACTTTTCTGTGGTCATCAATTTTCAACAGTCTGATATATTAAACTTTTTACAAACACCCCCTTCTTTGGCCAATAAATAGTTTAAACCCTACCTATTCTGATACACTACAGGTTTTGTTTGGCTTAGCTGACTTGATATTAACTCTGATGCCTGGGTGGCTCCATTTGCTATAATTTCCATAACTGCTTGGAGTCTTCTAATATGACTCAATAGATAATTTGGGGTCAATACAGAGTTAAATTGCTGTGCTGATTTTACCTTTTTGTTTATTATTTGTTTTTTTTACCAAATCTTGAACCGTATCATCAAGATTAAATGTAAAACAAATCCATCTCTCTCCTTTTGGACATTCAATTCCAAATCTATTACCACTTTTTCCTAAGTTTCTTGTAATCCAATAATTTACTCCGTTTTTCCTACAGGTTCTTAATTTGGATGGGTTATAACAGTGGCTGTTGACATAGGTGTGTGTAATAAAAGAGGAACTTTGGTTTCTTTCCATGTGATGCTTTCTGTAGCATTTGTGACACGATCTTGCTGGTATCCCAAAAGGGAAAAGACAACAAATGAGTGCCAGAAACAGGAATAACAGAGGCCCAGTATGGCTCATACTCCCACCTCCCATGCCTGTGAGGTTGCAACCCACATCAGGTGTATTTGATCTTCTTGGTGGCAAAATACAGAGGCCAATCTGCTCTTGCCCTCTATTTCCTTGTCACTTTTTCTTAATTAGTTTCCAGGCAAATTGGTTTTGACACCCTTTAACTGTGGTCTCTTACCGTTCTTCAGGTATCTCTCATTCAACAGGCACTAATAATTCCCATCCACAAAACAAAGTTATTACTTTAACACTTTTTGCAATAAGAGCATAAATTTTGTGAACTACAATACTAATTATTCTCACAATTCAAGCATTTACTTATAACCCAGCTAGCATGTCCAGTATTGGAATGAATCAAATAAAGTTTACTGATGGAAATGGTAATTCCCCTTCTCCCCTGTACAATTCTCAGGCTAAGGTCAGAACACAAAAACAGTCTTGACTCTTCTATCTGGAGTATTCCTCCCCTAAGGAGATGTTTTATTCAGGGAGTGCTTGAAACCAGTGGTATAAGCATTGTCTTACTTCTTAATTCAGTGTTATTCTTTGTACATTTCTGGATCATTTGGCTTTTTCCAAACTGTTACCACTCAGTCCCCATTGGAAAGTCAGTTTGGTATCACCCAGTTTAAATGTGATATCCATTCCTCAGGTTTCTTCACAAGTCCTTTGATTCTGCTGGCATGAATTCACCCTCTTTCCATGATTCTGATTGTTGCTTCAGTAGTACCTGGATAGGACTTCTTAATAGCATAGTAATAAAAGAAAGATAATACTGCATTAACTTTTACCATTCACTTTGCTTCCAGACTTTCTGGGTTTAGCTAAAAGCTTTTTCCACAGCAGCCTCTTCTTCTTCTATCCAGCTGTGCTAATAGCTGCAGAGGCAAATTCTTCTTTTTGTGAGTTACAGTTAGTTAAATAAGAAAAGCTAGACCAATTTTAACACTAGATGTATCACATCTATTGCTTTTTACTTTTTGGGCAGCATTTAATTGTTTTAGCCTTACAAACCCATTCTTCAGGAGAAAAAAAAAAACAACAACAACTTATTTTTAACAGCAAACAAAACACACAAAAGAAAACACCAAAAGCCTTCTTACTTAAGAGAAACAAACCACTTTATGAGGTTTGGAGAGTCAGCAATCTCTGCTTTGACTTTATCTTTTAGTGCTAGCCCCCCTCCCGCTCTTTTCACGGCCTTGCTGTCAATGCCGTGCTGCCACTTCGCTGGAGGCCGGAGCAGGGGAGAGCAGCCAGGGTCATGGGGACCCTGGGGGCAGCCTTGGGTCCCTTTTGCCCTCTCTCTCTCTCTTCTTCTCTCTCTTTCTCTTTCCTTCTCTGTCTCGGCCCACTTACCACAACGCTGCCATCCTGGGCTCGGGCCCCCGGCAGTGTGGGAGCCCCCCGGCAGTTCCACCACAGAGCCAGCCCCGCTCCTGCCCGGCAAACCCGTGTGTCCCCTGCTGCCAGCACCGCCGCCGCCACCGGGCCACCTCCATGGATCGGTGCCTGCCGCAGCCCCCGAGACCCCGCCGCTCGCAGGGAGCGGGCAGACACCTGCCAGCCTTGACAACCCCAAACCTGGCGTCCCCAGGTGCTCCTGACATTCTTTTCCTTTCTCTAGTCAACTTATCCTCTTTTCTCTTCAAGGAGGGTCTGTCCTGCTAAACCCTTTCTGGACCCCAGTTCAGCACTGAATAACCTCCTAACAACCGTGTGTTAAGACACTTCCCTGCCTTTCATGCAAAAAACCCGCATTCACACTCCTGCTCTCTTCTAGCATCAGGATGTCACCACTTCACAAAGTGAAATGGCATTCCTGTGAGTGCAGTGGATGACCTCGTGTGCTGTAAGACATGGGAATGCCTCTGCTACGCTTCTGAAAAGCCCGGGAGGGGCTCAAATAAGCCCCCTCCTTTCTCACCCTGCTGCCTTCAAAACCACCCCCCCAACAACAACTCCTAACTGGATACCTGCTCACCCTCCCTCTCCTAGTCACAATGCTCAACTCACCTGAAGCCTCAGTCTCAAACATCATCTTGGACACTGGGCAGATCCCTCTCGTGACACGATGAATCTGCTGAAAAAAGTGTTGTAATTGACACAACCTGGAGTCTCTGGAAGCTGCACTCCTCCTAAAAAAAAATACAAAACAAAATCAGAACAAAACCAGAAATTACAAATTAAAATAATTTAAAAAAACAAACCATTTACTCCCTGGGAGCCTGAAATTTTCTACTGCTGCACTGGACATACAGTTTTTCTTCTTTTTCTTCTGTTTACTATATACAGTACAGCAATAGCCAATATCTATGGAAAATGGTAGGAGTGGAAAATGTAGTGACACTGCCCAGGTGGACTTCACAAACTTCCAATGATTTACAGTTCAGAAGTCACCTGAGCTGGAGTTGATTCTTGTGAGTGGCTTTTTTACTTTGGACAGCAGCTTAATGTATCCAGTAATATATCCAAGGCTTTTGTCTTCAGCCCCCCAAGACTGAAACCTCACCAGGGTGTGCCAGGGCTCTCCCTGATCCTTGAACCTGGGTTTTCTTCCAAGCTGATGGAGCTGCAGGAGGTGCTGCTCTGAACTGAAGCCTCACTTCATCTGGAGATCTGATGCAGCTGCATTCTGCACAAGTCTGAGAGCTCACACATAAGTGGAATATTCTCCTGACAGCTCCTGAGAGCTGACACAGTGGCAAAGCACCCATCTGCTTGCACCCATCTGCTTTCTAAATTCTGGTCCAAGTGCACATCATGATTTTTGGGGAGTAATCTGAGTGTATTCTGCCAACTACTTTTTTTTCTTCTACTAAATTAGTTTTCCCTTTATTTTTTCTTCTCTCATAGAAGAGAGAGAGAGAATTGAGTAGGATGAAAAAAAAAATTCTGCATTTTTGCTTTCATCAGAACAAGGAGAAAGCAAGTCCTTTAGGTAGGCATGAAAAAGGACTTTCTCATTCTCAGATAAGAAGAAAAAAATCTTCTCCAGTTTTTGGTAGGATAAACTTTGCTAGTTTTGTCTCTCATCCTTACACAAGAAACAGTAACCCTAAAGAAAAATCTTTTTGGCATCCCAAAATCAGGGCAGTATTAAATGAGGGCTTATACTGTCCATGGACTCCTCCTACACACAAATCCCTGGGAGTGATGCTAGACCTCATGAAAAATCATTTTACCTTATTCCAGAATAAAATGTAGAGAAGAGAGAAACTCATTCTACATTGCCACAATGGAAACTTAGTTTTAACAGAGACCCCTTTAATACCTCTAGTTATGGAAATTAAATGAGCAATAAAGGCACACATTGTGTATTATGATGGATTGCTCAGCTCTAGGTCTCCTTGATTTTACTTTTATCCTTCCTTTCATCACTTATTTAATACCCTAAAAATTACCAGAGTCAGATGTCTGTTATTAACCTGGACAAAAAACCAAACCAAAACAAAAACCCAAAAAATCAAACCAAACCAAAACCCACCAAACAAACAAACAAACACAAAAAACAAACAGGGGGAAAAAAGATAGGGAAATAGATATTTTCCCTCCAGATTCTACCATGACTTTGTACCACTGAGTGTGGATACTGCTCATAACAGCCTAAAAATATGGATATATTTTGGAACCTATCTGTATGTATAAACACCAGTTTTAAATACTGCCTTTGATATTGCTGTATCTATTAATAATAAATAAATACGGTGTATAAAGAAAAACAGTCCTGAATTGAAAATAAACACAGCATATAATCCTTATGAATAGTGACAATACTCTAAAATACTAATTTATTCTTAGCTTTTCCCTTGCTAAATTTGCTACACATCAAACTCTAAATTTTGTGAGAAGATGATGATAGATGTATTGCATTCTTGCTAAACCAACTACAAAGAACAAGTAACCTTCCCTGAACATATTAATAGGGCAAACACCATGAAAAAAGGTGATGGTGAGAAAGCTTTGGGAAAAGAGATTATACTTTGCCTTTTTGTAGCAGTGGCTGCATACCACAGCTGCAATGAAGGAAACATTCCAGCTGAGCAGCATTCCTCTGTCTCTCTTCAAAGCCCCTGTGGAGGCTAAAGTAGGAATCACTTATTTGCGGTTGAGAAAACAGCAAGGACTTCTGCATTAAATTTTAAATACATTCTGCTCAGAGGATGATAAGATGTTTAAATCAAATGATGAGACATTACCCATCTCAGCAATGCATTAGGAGTATGAAATGGGATTCAGCACGCTGTGAATTCTAAACTCCTGTACTCAGCAAAGAATCACAGACTCACACAATACCACATTGGAATTACAATATCATCCTCAAGGATACTCTGGTCCATTCTTTCCTGGTGAAAGTACAGACTAGACAATATGGCCCAGCACCCTATCAACTCTGAATTTTAGAGGTGTCCATGGCCTGTTGATCTCAAGAGTAAATTATGGTATTTTAAGTTTTATACTAAAGTAATACAAAGGTGACAATGAATTGGTCACCAAAATTCATTCCAGCATTTTTCTACTTGCTAGATTGATTTTCAGATTACCAGAGCTCAGCCAATGTAGAGATGGAATATAGCCTGTATAACTATTTCTTCAGTATAAAGGCTAGGTAATTTTAAAAATTATTTTCTATTAGATTTATACTATGTTTAAGTTACAGAATGTGTTAGAAGGTACTTTCCCCATTTAATTTTTACTGCAATTAATTTCTCTTAGAACACTGAAGATCTCAAGTGTGATCAGGATATGTGGGAGGAATTCTTTGTCCTCAGAGTAAAGTGAGTGCAGAAGATAATCCCATTTCTTAACAGCCAAGCCCCTCAACATGCCCAGAAATGTACTTCTTGAAGAGATGTTGAGTCCTGAAGTGTCAATCTACACTCCTGCAACTCCCAGATAACGTTTTGTCAAACTGTCATGCAAAACCTGAACTTACTCTTAAGAAACCACACCAAAAATTTAGGTTGTGTTACTGTTTCAAAGCTACTCCAATTTATAATGTCCTTAAAATGTGTTCATCTGCAGACCTTGTAACAGGATTTGGCCATTAGGTGAGTCACTGGAGCTGCTTAATGAAGCACCTCCACTCCCTGTTTTTAACACACAGCAACAACATCTGACAAACTGCTCCTGGTCCTGCCAAGGGCCCGTGCCAGCGAGGTGAGTCAGCCGCGTCCTTGTCCTTGCTGCATCATCCCTCTGACAGACAGCGCTACAGGGAGGAGTAAATAACTGCACACAGGACAAATCTGACTTTCTGCACCATCTCTAGCTTAAATGCAAGAGAGACTCTTCAGCCTTGTCTTAAATGGTGTTGCAGTTTGGCTGAATGTATTCCACGGGTTATGGAGAACTGACTCCAATATTCCAGCGCTCTCCAGTGCAGCTCCAAGCACGCCGTGGAAGGATGAGATCCTGAACTGCAGGAAGGCAGATCTAATGTCCAAAGAGAAAAAGCCCCTTCTCTTGTGAACTTCCACCAAACACAGCCATAAGCAATATGCAAAACCAGAACAGGGACTCTGAGACGTGATGACTTGATTCCCATTCAACCTGCTGTAATTTGATTTTTTCCAGAATATGCTAATATGGAGTCATTTAGAAGACTCAGAAAGGTCTGCATAACCCTCAATGAAGTTCCTCATCCCTGACCAATTTAATGAATTTATGACAATTCATTAAAATCAGAGAAAAAACTAGATTGGGAAAATGTATTGCTAATTGCTTTTATTTCATAGAATCATAGAGGAATTGGCAAGAAAGACCCAAGAGAATTATTTGTTTGCCTCAGAAACTAGCTACTGTCCTCCTTCCACTGTCTTGTTGATTTTTTTCATAAACATTTCTATTAAAACCAGTGACAGTATAATAAATCTATTCAGAAAATCTACTTACAATAGCACTTACTGTCATGCTTGATTTAATTGTCCTCTTTGAAGAATGACTGCTTGTAGGATGAAGGTGATTCTCTCCCATCTATCTTTCTCTCTGTAATCCCCTAAACCAAACATAATTCTGAAGAAATAAAATAAAAAATGTTTATGCTCTGACAGTGCTCCTATTCTTAGTGTAGTTGGGATGTACATAGAGGGACTAGAAAATACCTGTAAAGGACAGAAGCTGGAGACTGAGGATGACTCAGAATGCTCCATCTTCTACTTGATTGTAGTTTATTACTGCATTTGTTACCCATAAAAAATAAAATGGAACGTTTCCCTGAAGGTACAAATAAAAGACATTATTTGCTATCAACAAGCGAAAAAAGAATCATCCACTATCAGGCTAAAACATAAATTGTTAATTAGGATTATTACATTATCAGTAATTGACACAGGGAACTTACAGGACAAGCAATACAAAATTAAAGTACCAGCACATTTCTGAAGTTGGAAAAGAAACTGAAACAGAATGTTATTTGTTCTCTTCTCAAATGCCTTCCTTATGTTCCTCAGAACCCCAAGCAATTGCAGCTGTTGGGAGAAGCAAAAGCCACTTTCACTGGTGCCAGTCACACTCCAGACACCCTGAAGGAAACCCACAAGCCACAACTTCATCACTGAGGTTCTTCTGAGTTCAGCCATAACTTCAGCAAAATGACAACAGAAAAGCATTTTCTTCATAAAGAATCAGACTTCCAGTGTTCTCTTGCTTCCATTGTCTACCCTGGTCCTTCACTGGTATTCACTCTGACCAGCAGTGTCTCCCTTTTGGCTAGAAACCACGAAGATTTAAACTGTAATGGGCAAAAATACAATTTACTGGCCATGCTTGGACAAAGAAAAATAACATAGAGGAAATTTTTAAAAGTAGGGTGCAAATTGGGATGTCCTGGAAAACACAGGAAGGACTGGGCATATCTGAGGTTTCCCCCTACATTCCTGCTGGGACAGTCTGAGTACCCTGGAGGCCACTTCATGGTCAGGAGATGTGTGTGTGGCTGGGCCACTGTGGCAGGATAACAGAACTGAGACCTCTGGGAGGCAAGAGAAAGGTGCTGGACAAGATTTTCAGCTGATGGAGCAGTGCATGAAACAAAGGCAGCACAAGGTAACAGCTGCTGCCTTCAGCCCAGGTCTATTGCATCTCTAGTACATTGTTCTCTCAGGTGACAGTAGGCACTAAATGGTACAGAGGGTGACACTCCAGTCTGAGTTGTGTAAAATATGGAGAACATCACAATAAAACTGCCTATAACCACAGAAAATAACAGCTCTTTGTAACTGATCCAGATGGAATTCACACAGAACATGTGAAAGTAAACCAAATCCTTCTATTAAGAAATTACTCCCTAATTTCTATTTTAAGCCATTTTTAATTCTAAATAATCGATGCTAATGATTTAAAGTAAAAAGTATATAAAAAAAAAGATTATGGCACATTGCTGATTTCAGTTTATTGATTTATTTAAATGAACTAAAATGTTTGCATTGATCTTTCAAAAGAATTCGAATAGGCCCCAAGAATCTTTATCAGAAGGACCTAAGTAGTTCATCCTAAACCCTTTGTAGTGCCCTCATGATCCATGCTCAATATAGGGGAGTTATCTGACAGACACAGAACATCCTGGCCTGAGAGTGCATAAACCTGTCTGATACACCCTGGATGCTCTGTCAGCAGGGTATATCATACAGGTTGATGCACTTCCATTTGCACATTCACAAACTGAAATAAATCCATTTGAAAAGACTGCCATTTCAAATGGATTTATTTCAGTTGGTGTGGGGCTTTCTGAAAAACAATGATTCTCTGATCTCTGCCAAATTACTTTAAGAGACTATCCACACTACATTTCTAAAAGAAACCTTGAGCTGAATTCCCCCTTTTATTCCTGTTAACACATTTTTTCCTACTCTAAACTTTTAGCTAAAACGAGATACCTAAAATACCTGTTTTTTTCTGCTGCATGCAAGCCTTTGTCACATTTCCCCATCAGAAAGAGTCAAAGAGAACAAAGAACTGCTAAGATATGCAGTGTAAACTGAAGTTCAGGAAATTCAGCCTCTGGCAAACCAAGGTAAATAAAAAGCTCTTCTGTGGAGAATTTCCTACTGTGGATGCTCTGCCCACACACAGCTTTTTCAGGGTTAAGCCAAGAGGGGTTTTGTTCCACGAGTTCTTTGCATTGTTTCAACTTCTGTTGCATAATAGAGCCAAAGGAGTGATCTGAGATAATAAAGCTCCAGTCCAGCTACAGCTTTAACTGGCAGCTCTAGTAATGTTCTGGCACCATCTGATGTTTTTTGTTTTGCTTGCCTGGGTATAATCTCTAGGCAGCCCCGCTTTGTTTAGTCAGTGAAAATAAAGAACAAAAACAGACTACTAAGGTCATATGCAGCTTGGGAAAAAAAAAATGTTATCTAAATTAACAAGCTGGATTTCAAAATCAGATTGTGCATTAGGTGCCCTAAACTGGTGACTCCACACATAAATACACCACCAGGTGACTCCAAGGAGTATCAATGCTCCAAATTCCCATTGGTGACAAACTAGTGTATGATGTGACATGTGATATGGGCAGACAATTAGAAATCTGGAATATTTCTTATTTCCTAAAACCAAACACAGTGATTCCTTTTCACTAAAGGGGTAATTTTCTATTAAATTTTGTTTAACTTAGTATAAAGTTGTAGTGTTGTGAGACACTAAACCTGCTTTAGCCCACTGTAAAGGCATTTAAATAGACAAAGAATAAAAAAGGGCTATAAGGGGGAAAGGAAAAAAAGTTACTAATGAACACGGTAGACTGCATGATAAACACAAACCTCATGGTAAAAACACTACTTCTGCTGCTTTATTGTTGTTCCCTAGGAAGGAACATGAGTATCCCTATGGGTCCTTTGAAGTTTTCATGTTAAAGCACAGCTCAAGTTCTGTACTTATGTCAGAGGAGATCAGTGCCAAAACCATGCCTTGTGCTGAACAACAGATTTGCAATTGTTCGTAGCTCCTGGGGAATTCATTCCACATTCTTGGATCAGTCCACAGGAAAGCTGTGTCACATTGAAATCTTAGCTTTTAAAGGTCATCTCGAGTCATGAATGGGTTTTAGACACTGTGGACGTGGAGCGCTTTGAAGAGAAACCCCCTCGGACTCCATTGTTAAGCCCACTTTGGTTTAGATTTAAGGCACTTAAAAAGCCGAGAGGCAGAGGGACAAGTACACCAGCGAGAGATGCTCAAAGCTTCCAAGCGGTGCTAAGTGTTCTAGAGAGGAACTAAAAGATCCCTAAGTGCTTTAGGGGACAGGATGACGCCCTCCCGCCCTCACACTCCGCAGGGCCAGCGCGCCGTGCCCTCACGGCACCGCCTCACAGCCCTGCCTCGCGCCTCGCCCTCTGCCTCCCCCGGGGCCGTGAGGAGAAGCCGCGGGGACGGAACCCCTCAGGCAGCGCCCTCAGGGTCCGTACCCCGAGCTCCCTCTCTCCGGACCCCGGGGCCGCCCCCGCCGGGCTCCGCTCCCCTCACGGCCCCTCCCCGCTGCGCGCGCAAACGCCGCCCCCCGGGGCAGAGTGGCCCCGTGGCCCCTCCCCGTCGCTGCGTGCCCCGCCCCTCCCCGCCCGGCGGCCGCCGAGTCTCTCCCCCGCTCCCCTCACCGAACGCGCGGCGTGCGCGGCGGTGCCGGTCCGGTGCTAAGATGGCGTCTATCATGGAGGGCCCGCTGAGCAAATGGACCAATGTGATGAAGGGCTGGCAGTACCGCTGGTTCGTGCTGGACTACAACGCGGGGCTGCTCTCCTACTACACGGTGAGGGGCGGCGGGCGGGCCGGGCGGGCGAGGAGGCGCCGGGGACCGGCTCAGGCGCAGGGTGGGGGCGGGGAGGGGACTCAGGGCGTGCGGGCGCCCGGGCGGCCAATGGGGAAAGAGGAGGCGGCGGGAGCGACCAATGGGGGACGAGGAGGCGGCGGGATCAGCCAATGGGGCGGCGCTGCGGGGAGATGGAGTGGCGGGGGCGAGAGGCGCTGTTGTTGTTGGCGGCGGGCGGCGCCGCCGGCGGGAGCGGCCGCGGGACCCGCCCGGGCTCTCCCGGCAGCTCCGGGGCCGCGCACCCTCCTCGGGCGGCCCGTGTTCCCCTGTCCCGGAGCCTTGCTCGGTGCTGGCCGAGTCCCGCTGCTCCCCGCCCTGTCCAGCGGGAACTCACGCTGGCCCCGGTCTGGGGGCTCAGCCCGGCCGGCGGGCGCGGGCGGTGCCGCCTTCTCGGGGCCGTGCGCGCCCCGCGCTTCGTTCCCGCGGCTCTCGGTGCGTTACGGCCGCGCTTGGCGAGCTCGCTGCCCTCCGGCAGGTGCTTCCCGGAGCCGATCGACTTTCCCGTTTCCGTTCAGGACTTCCCACTTCCCAGCACGAACTTTTTACTGCGGTGTGTTAAGAAACAGTGATGCTTTTCTTAACTTTTTTTTTTTTCTTCTTTATAACCCCTGACAGATCTTGCCTTACTGGCTTGTTCACCTTCCTTATTCATATTTTTACATAACTCACAAGTATTTTAATGGTAGGAATTAATTTTTTCAAGGATGCCCCCTGAAATCTGAAGGCTCACTGAGTGAACTGCATCCATGCCTCAAAGTTTTCTTTTTCAAAGTATATCAGGCTGAATAAAACACATACAAAATAAGCCTGCAGTAAGTTGTAATAGATGTACAGCAAATAACTTGGCATAACCACATTGTCTATGAAGCTTTGTTTGTACAGAAGCATTGCATATAAAACTTTTTTTCTTAAATCTGGATTTCCCTTATACTGGTAGAAGCAGGGGTAAGGCTCTTGTCACAGAACTGTCACATGCTCTCGATTTTGTTCATGTGGGTTCAAAATCTCACACCTGGGATGTGGATGGAGAAATGGAAGTGCTTTTATAGTTGCTATTTAGTGGCTCTTCAAATGTCAGCTGCTTGACAGAGATGAATTAGTCAGTGTGGTCTAACTAGCAGTCCAAGGTGCAAAGTCATTTAATGCTCAGCTACAGAAATAGAAACATTTGCTGATGACTACTGTGTATAATTATAATTCTGGATATTGTACTGACTTTCATCCTATGGTCTTCAGCTGTTTAGTAGAATTATAGTATTTAATTTTTTCCTGTGACTGGGTACCTCTACACATATGTTACACTTTCATTTTGTATCATTTATTAACAACTTTTAGTTCAAAAATTTAAAAACCCTTTTTTTAACTAGCTATCCTAAAAAGTTCAAGTTGGGTTTAAGGAATAAAATCATGTTCTCTGCTTTATGTGCCTTTACCACTGAGAAGTGGCTGGAGTGAGCATTTCTTTCAGAATGCTTTTCCCATCCATGAGCTCTTTCATTCTCATACCTAAGGCTGTAAGGCGTAATATAATGCATGTAATGCATATACATTTGCAAGGTGTTTTACAAAAGCCTTTTACCCAAATTGCCAAATTTCAGTCCTGCTGAAGCCTGCCTGCCACAAGATCTGGTCCTTGGGCGTGCCCTCCTCTCCCTGTGTGCTGGCAGGGCTGCTCCCAGGGCAGCAGGGTCAGCAGGAGCAGCGTTTGAGGGATAACTCAGAGCTTGTCCCAGCTGATCACACACCTCTCAAGAGCCAGTCCTTCACCTGTGAGAGGGTGATAGGGCACTGTTTGCTTCAGCTTTAGTGTTGGAGTACTAACTCCTGACTGGTAGTTGGTGAGGCTCATAAAGAGCATTAATTTGAAACGTTGCAGGTTTGTGATTTTATTTAAATGGGACAATGGCCTGTTGCACTCTGCACAGGCAGCCTCGTGTTGGGAAGGAACCTGTGATCAGGTGCACAGGGCTCCTTCTGCACCAGTTTCAGTCTGGAGCAGTGGGGTTGCCTGGCTGGGTGAGTGTGGCTGCTGTCTGAGCCTGGATCTGGCCCCTCCCAGGAATGTACTGCAGGGCTGGGGTAGGATAGGATGGGATGGTTCCAGCCCGGCTGCCTGGACACACAGCCTGGAAGCAGTTCTGTTGGTACGAGGGGTTACAGGTACCTGATCAGCCTGAGCCTGCCCTCTGTCTCTCCAGGCTCCTCAGCCTCAGTAAGTTCTGCAGACAGGAGAAACTTTCTCCAGCAGCAGATCCCACAGCCTGTTAACCTTTGGCTGGGCAGCTGTGGAAAAGTGCAGGCAAATAACTCCTGATGCAGCTGAAGTTTCCATTAGAGCCTGAGCCACAAACTTCTTCATAGGCGTGTCCTGGCACTCCTGGACTCAACCCTCCCTGGTAGTTACCTAAAATAGACTGCAGAAAAGCACCCTTAATGTGAAATAAACATTCAAACAGAATTAGTGTGCCATAGCACTGCACTCTGGGGGGAAAATAAAAGGTTATGCTTTGTCTTTTGGTGGAATGAATAGCTGTTAACCTAAGTATGTTTTGGATACATACACCAGGAGCAAATGATTTCAATGAAATTCCATTTCTGGAATGATTAGAACTTTAAAGGAGCAAGTCAAAAGATTTTGCATCAAGTCAGAGTCAGGAAAAAAAAATGTAATGGTCACATTTATTTCTGTTTTCATTTGTGTGTTCCATGCTCTGTACTTGTATTGTAGTGAACAATAGTAGTGCTACTTGCATGTGTCAATGTGAATCTTCTCATGTGCATTGACAAAAAAGCCTTTTACCTAAATTGCCAAATTGTTGGCTTTTTTCCCCACTTCTGTTATCCAGGAGCTTTTTTCCTCATTCAGAATTGAAATGTTCATCCTCAAATTTGCTTATAGTTACTTTTGTGTTAAGTTATTTACAAATTCTGTAATTTACAGAGTATGATTTGGACTTGTCATCCAAGTACTCTTTTCACATGGTTTTGCTTAAATAAATGATTGTCTGATATCAGTAAATGGCCCCTTTTTTTTCCTTTATTTTTTAAAGCAAAATATGAATTAAATGACAGCGTGCCATTTTTGCCATCTTGGTTCAGTTTGACCAATGGCTTGAAAAATTATTTCTTTTTTCCCCTCAGTATTCTTGGATTTGTGACCCTACTCATGCTTCAGTGCTTTCTCTTAAGGGAATAGCTTATATATGTAAGTTACTGAAGCATTGGGGGGGTTCACTGTGTTGTTTGCTTCACTGAAATATTTAGCAAACAAATCTTGAACTGGCTCATTCCTGCTTTCTGCTGGTGCAGGAGCTGTAAAGTTGTTCCATGAGCTGGATTCCAGATGAAAAATAGCTTTGTGCTGGTTTATTTTTTCAGCTGAATTTGTTCTGTTGTTTGTTTTGTGCATGTCAGTGTAGAAACATGTGTGTTGACATTATTCTGGGAAGAGAACATGAAGACAAAGAAATGGTCAAGGAGGAAGGGGGAGTTGAGTGCAATTTGCTTTTTGTTTGTGTTTTCTGGCAGAAGTGCTGTCTTAAATACACATCAGCTATAGCCTTGATAACCCTTGGGAATTCTGTAGAAATAATCCAGTGAAGCACTCAAGTTTGAAAATCTGATTTAAATTCTAGCTTTAAGTGTATTCTTTAAATAAATATTTAAATTGTATAATAAATTGAAAGCAGAACTGTGCAAACAGTGCCAGAGGAAGGTCAGTTCCATAAAGTATTTTAAAACTTCATGGATATATGACATTTGGTGATATTGAAAGGAGAACTATTCAAAATGTTGCAGGCTTAAAGAACTGCCTTGCACAGTGAATGAGAGCTGCCAGAAAAAATTGTTGTGTATGACAGCTCCATATTGTGCATTCCTGAAAGCAAACTGGGGAACCTCCCATCATCTTAGGGGTTTTTGCACCAGTGAATACCTGAAGAATGGATTGAAGTGCTGTTCTTTTGTTCATCATTCCATCAAACTCCTTTTAAAACATTTGCCAGTCGACTGCTTTCAGGAGCAAGAGCTGTGTGAAATCAGTTGTTGGGAAAAGTAATTGTGGCAGTATGAAATTATCTCTCCCCTCATGTTTTTCAAGATTACAACTGGTGAGCAACTTTCAAACTGGTTGTATTGAAGAGCTGCTTGTGGGTTGTACAACCCAGCTATTGGGGAGGGAGACTCAAATTTTGGAGCAGTTTTATGAATCTTTGGTGGTGAGCTGAAAGCAAACCTTGTTGCCTTGATTTCAGAGGATGCCTCTGAAGCTGCAGTCAGGGCTCAGTGGCCCCATGACAGAGACTTTCAGCTTAATACTTCTTTCAAATGCAGTTTCTCAATCAGCAGCTGCGTGCAAAAATCCCAAGAAAACAGGAAAAAACCACATCTGCTTTTGCACAAACGTTCCCTCCGAGGTCTCTGTTTTCCATTCTCAGATGAAATGACACTTTTTTCTTATAATAACTTGATCTTGTCACATGCCCTGAAAACAACTCAGTGAGTCTATTAAAACCAGACAAAGCTGTAAGTGAACTTGTCATAATAAAAATAATTCTGAATTTGTGGTCACGGGATCTAAAATACTGTTGGTTGTCATACAACACTAACTTGAATTTTGTACATAGTTTAAACTTTGTATCACAGGTTTCCGTGCACTGAATGAACTGTTAAAGGATTATAATTGAAGTAGTTGACTCCTCTTTAGCAGTTAAGTTTCAGCTGCAGGCAGTTTAGTCTGCAGCTGTGCATTTTTGAGGAAGAGGCTGAATGGAAGGTTCCAGGACTGGGCTGTACCTTTTACACCTTGATGCAGTTAAGGCCTCATATGTATTAATTTCTCATAGGATTCTCTAAAGCAGTGTAATGCTTTTCCATGCCAGGATCTATGAAATGTTGCCTTACCTATTTCACATAATCCTGGTAT